GGTGGTGCTGGCTGTGGAGGGGCTGGGCTCCGCCTCCCTGTGCATGGGCGCCCCTCTGGGCCCTGTCCTGGAGTGTGGCTGAGCTGCTTCTCTCTGGAATGCACCGACTGTGTCCTCCTCGGTGGTCCTCAGCTCTGTGCTTGCTGCACATCAGGCCCCAGGAGCTGCCAGCAGGGCGCCTGCCACCTGCCCGGGGATGCCAGGGAGGTGAGTGCCACCACATGCCAGGCCTCTTTCTCTTTAAGCCGTTGCTTTGGGGAACATCACGGATGTCTCCCACACTAAATATGTGTCTGTGTCACTGTGCGGTGGCCTGTGTCATCATTTATCCAGCCTGGGCTCATGTGTTTGCTCTTGTGAACAGGGCTGGAGTGAGAATTTTCCAGGCACAGCCGTACGCCTGCTCCTCTTCTTGCGTGTTAGAAGCTGAGCTGCTCTTTCCAACGTGCTGCAGTGCATTTGTTCTGCCCTGTTCTGTTGGCAGACTTGCCAGCCCTGGGGGTCTAGTTCATGCCCTCTTCCTTCCCAGGAGAAGTAACCACTTGTTCATGTGACCGTCGTTTTCTTGGTTTTCTACCTGGGAAACGTATCCCTTAAGAAGGCGGTTCATTCGGGTGGGCGTAGAGATCAGACTGAAATATTCCTTGGACTTTCCTTTGTTCCTGCAGTTACCCAGCACTGTCATGAGCTCACCAGCCCTTGGGTGGCTCCCCGCCCTGGGGATTGGAGTTTATCCTCTTCCTGTGAGCTGGGTGTGGGTGGCTCCCGGGGCTCTGTTCCGGACCTGCGGTCTGGTGGAGCACAGGCCTCCCAGGGACACAGGGCAGCTGGGGCTGGAGCAGCCTGAGGGGCAGTTAGAGTGGCCCTGGGGCCACTGCCTCCACCTGTGACCAGCTGCCTCAGGGTTCTGGGCATGACGCCCCTTCTCCTAGGAGGGGAGGCGTGTTAGTGAGACCCTAAGTCCATATCCCATGGGGGACTCTGACCCTCCTCAGAGGGCCCAGGCAGTGGCAGGTGGGTGTGTGCAGGTGGGCGGGTGGGGTGGGGACCCCAGACTGTCCCTGAGGCACCTGCTCTACTCCAGGGTGGGCTTTGGCGCTGCAGGACCCAAGCTGGGTTTGGGCTGCCTGGTGTGCCTGAGGTGGCCACATTCCCAGAGCCTAGACTGAGGCCCAGTGGGGACCAGGGAAGACTCTGACTGGGGCTCCATGGAGGACGTGTCTTGGATGATGCCCACATCATGGGGTCCAGCTGGGAGGAAGGGGCGTGCCCACCTCCCGGCAGTCTTCCTGGGGCCACCTCCACCTGGGGTCTGTGCATGGCCACCTGCCAGAAGTTCCTCCCTGCCCAAACCCCAAAGTCTGTGCTGCCCCAGGGCAGGAAGGAAAGGTCTGTGGCTGGTGCACATCGGGGCCCACCGTGGTATCCCCTGCAAACGCTCCCCTGCAGCAGGCCCTGAGTGAGGGACAGGGACAAAGGCAAGTCTTGGGTCCTGGTGGACTCGGGTGGATTCCAATGGGGAGTCACCAGGGTGGGGGTGGGAGTGTTGGGGTGTCTGTGCTCTTGGAGTGGGTTCTGGATGTGGGTTTGTGCCGGTGCTGCCTGGGGTGATGTTGGGAGGTGCTGCTGACCCCTGTGTCCCTGAGGGGCTCTTGTCATTGGTAGTGTCAGTTCCAGTCAGGGACCAGGGTGGTGGGATGGGATCCAGCCCCTTCCCTGACCCGCCGGAGCCCCTTGCCCAGCCCCTGTCTTCCCCTTTCAGTGGGAACTCCGTGGTGCTTTGGTTGTGGGGGTCCCAGGAGCCGGGCAGGACCTGGGTTCGGGGCGGTTGCTCCCTCTCTGGCTGGGTCTGTAGACAGTTTTAGACGCAGCTTTTCTCACAGTGGTAGTTCCCAGGGTACCCACTGTGACTTGGGACTGTTCAGAATCCGCCCAGGTGCCCTGAGTTCTGGGGCTTCCTGAGTGGGGACCGGGCTGCTGGGCGGGGTCTCCTTCAGGGGCCCGGGAGGCTGTGGCTGGTTTTAGGTGTGGGGTGGGCACTGGGACCCCCCAGCTAACAGAACATCAGCAGAGCCTGGGGCCTGCACACTCTCCACCCCCGTGTGTGGGGTGGGCCCAGGCCCCTCTGGGCAGGTCAGCTTCAACAGGGAGGGTGCTGGGGTCCCGCTGGTTTTCCTTTGGAATAACAGGGCTCATCTCCTGGCCCCAGACCCCCTCAGGTGGCCCCTGTCCCTCCAGCAATGCAGGCCACGGCAGGTCCCCTGCAGGGAGGTGTGTTCTGGCCTGGGTGTCCACTATGGGACCTCAGATCCTCAATGTGTGCTCTGGGTGAGCAGGACGGCAGGCAAGCCAGAGCCCCCCTGTCTGTGGGCATTTCCTGCTGCAGCAACTGTGGGAGCTGACAGTGCTCTCGGCCACGCCGTGCTCATCCTGAGTCTCATCGTGACGACGCTGTGACATGGGCCACACTCATCCTCAGAGTCTCATCGTGACGACGCTGTGACATGGGCCACACTCATCCTCAGAGTCTCATCGTGACGACGCTGTGACATGGGCCGCACTCATCCTCAGAGTCTCATTGTGAGGACGCTGTGACATGGGCCGCACTCATCCTCAGAGTCTCATCGTGACGACGCTGTGACATGGGCCACATTCATCCTCAGAGTCTCATCGTGACGACGCTGTGACATGGGCCACACTCATCCTCAGAGTCTCATCGTGAGGACGCTGTGACATGGGCCGCACTCATCCTCAGAGTCTCATCGTGAGGTGTTGTGAACTGAACGCGAGCCCAGGAATCTCGTCCAGCGAGAGGGTCTCAAACCTGGAAGAGAGCGCATGCCGGATAAAAGGAGATAGAAAAGGCGAGGTCTGGAGGGCTACAGGTGCTATGCTCATGCAGCAATTTTATTTTTGCAATGTGTTTCATTATATACTTTTCTGAAGTTAAAGTTGTTTACACCAGATTAACGTACTTAAGTTACAGTAAGCAAGTTAAGCCCAGTAAGTTACGGTAAGTTACCAAGTGTAAATATTTAAGTTAATATTTTGCAATGAAGGTAACAAGGGTCCAAAATGAACAAAATGAGACAATAAACCATAAGGAGCCGAAAGTAGACACATTGCCTTCCAAGTCCTCATATTCATAAAGTAATGTCTGTTAATTATTTTGAATAACATATAGTTCCTCTCTTGGTTCCTGCTTTCCCTCAGCTCAACTCCCCAACCGGGGATCTGTGTCCGGGCTCAAGCTCACCGTATGGCGAGGCCCATTTCCTAGGGGCCTCACACGGGAGCGATCCCCACAGGTCTCCCTTAGTGACGACGCTGTGACATGGGCCGCGCTCATCCTCAGAGTCTAATCGTGATGACGCTGTGACATGGTGCCATGCTCATCCTCAGAGTCGCATCGTGACGACGCTGTGACATGGGCCGTGCTCATCCTCAGAGTCTCATCGTGATGATGCTGTGACATGGGCCGTGCTCATCCTCAGAGTCTAATCGTGATGACGCTGTGACATGGTGCCATGCTCATCCTCAGAGTCTCATCGTGATGACGCTGTGACATGGTGGCATGCTCATCCTCAGAGTCTCATCGTGACGACGCTGTGACATGGGCCGTGCTCATCCTCAGTGTCTCATCGTGATGACGCTGTGACATGGTGGCATCCTCATCCTCAGAGTCTCATCGTGATGACGCTGTGACATGGTGGCATGCTCATCCTCAGAGTCTCATCGTGACGACGCTGTGACATGGGCCGTGCTCATCCTCAGTGTCTCATCGTGATGACGCTGTGACATGGTGGCATCCTCATCCTCAGAGTCTCATCGTGATGACGCTGTGACATGGTGCCATGCTCATCCTCAGAGTCTAATCGTGATGATGCTGTGACATGGGCCGTGCTCATCCTCAGTGTCTCATCGTGACGACACTGTGACATGGGCCGTGCTCATCCTCAGAGTCTCATCGTGATGACGCTGTGACATGGTGGCATGCTCATCCTCAGAGTCTCATCGTGACGACGCTGTGACATGGGCCGCGCTCATCCCCAGAGTCTAATCGTGATGATGCTGTGACATGGGCCGTGCTCATCCTCAGAGTCTCATCATGATGATGCTGTGACATGGGCCGTGCTCATCCTCAGTGTCTCATCGTGACGACACTGTGACATGGTGGCATGCTCATCCTCAGAGTCTCATCGTGACGACGCTGTGACATGGGCCGTGCTCATCCTCAGAGTCTCATCGTGATGATGCTGTGACATGGGCCGTGCTCATCCTCAGAGTCCCATCGTGATGATGCTGTGACATGGGCCGCGCTCATCCCCAGAGTCTAATCGTGATGATGCTGTGACATGGGCCGCGCTCATCCCCAGAGTCTCATCGTGACAACGCTGTGACATGGGCTGCGCTCATCCCCAGAGTCTAATCGTGATGATGCTGTGACATGGTGCCATGCTCATCCTCAGAGTCTCATCGTGACGACGCTGTGACATGGGCCGCGCTCATCCCCAGAGTCTAATCGTGATGACACTGTGACATGGGCTGCACTCATCCTCAGAGTCTCATTGTGACGTCCTCAGAGTCTCATTGTGACGACATTGTGACATGGTGCCACGGCCCTGCTTCCTCAGGGTTTCCTGGTGAGTCCTGGATTTCCCTCGGGGGCCAGGAGAGGAGAGCAGAGGGAGGAGGGGAAGAGCTGGGTCCTGTGGAAGTGGGTGTTTGGGTTGGGGGTCTTTGGAGAGAAGATCTGGGCTCCTGGAGACTACCCAGCAATGATCCTCCCTGTTCACACCCTGAGGGTCCCAGCAGGAGCAAGTGAGGAGACCGTGAGGAGCAGGCCTGTGTCCCATCTTCCCTGCCCATGAAACGGTGGAGGCTGAGCGCATCTTTCCCAGGGCAATGCAGAACAGCACCTATGGTGTGGGGGTGCCCAGATGGGGGCTGGGCTGTGGGGTGCAGGGCAGGGGGGTGGGTGCAGGAGGGCGATGGCCCTGTCACCCCTGCAGTCACTCTTTCTTGTCCGGGGCACCTGCACTAGACCCTGGCCTGGAAGGGTGGCCTCCTAGCCTGCAGTGTCCCTGGAGTCTGCTCAGGTTCTGGAGCTGGGCATGGGAGGCCAGCATCCTGTCCTCCCAGGACAGCAGGAGGGCCCAGACCAGTGCCTGGCAGACTTCCCCGGAGAAGGGTCCCAGGGTGGGGAGGTCATGATTTCCAGAAGGGTCTGTGTCTCTGAGTGTGTAAGTGTCCGAAGGGTCCACTCGGTGTGGTCAGGTAAACAGGCAGGTTTTAGTTCAGATGGAGGAAGCTGAGGTTTGACTCTGACTTCCTGCCAACTCCCGGGGAACGAGCCAAGCTCTGTTATCACCTGTGCAGGGGCGACAGCCTGGTAAAGGGAGGTGGTGGCGGGAACAGGGAGGATGCTCGGGGCTCAGTCGTCAGGGAAGGGAGAAATTGCCCGGCGCTGGTCGGCGTCCCTGGGATGGGCCTGCTGTGTCCCCGGGATGGGCCCACTGTGTCCCCGCGATGGGGCTGCTGTGTCCCCGGGATGGGCCCGCTGTGTCCCCGGGATGGGCCTGCTGTGTCCGTGCAGGTGGCTGTTGAGGTCAGGATTCTGTCCTCCCAGAGCCTGGAGAAGCGGCCCCCTCCTTCCCACTGAGGACACTTCGAGGGAGCGGCTCTCAGGTCCCAAGGAAGACCCTCCTGGCCGCAGGAGACGTGCAGATGTCGGGAATGGACAGAAGGATGTGTGGCTGCAGCCCTTTCAGCAGACGCCCTGGGAAAGGGAGGTCGGGGATGGAGCTGACGGCCGGCTCTGGTGCGCCGAGCTTTCTCGGGCAGGTGTTGGCGGGGGTCGGCCTAGGACTGCAGCCTGAAGCCAGGAAGCCTTGCTGGGGTCTGGCTGTCTCTTGGTGCGGGGGGGGGGGTGGAGGGAGCCCTCACGATAGAGCATTGGGGGGGTCTCGGGAAGACCATCCCTGCAGCAGTGGGCCATGCTCTGAGGACAGCGGACGAGGCCCCCCACTGCCTCTGAGTGTAGGGTGGTCAGTTCTCTGCACCGACTGGCTAGGGCTCCCTTGGGGGTGCAGTGCTTCCCCTCCAGGCCTCTCTCCATGGTGTCCAGGGCAGCTCCTTGGACCTTGGTGCCAACCACTGAGGCCAGTCTTCCAGGGCCCTACCCTTCCTGATGCTTGGTGCTTGGGGCTCTGGAGGGAGCCCAGGCATTGGCCTCTCCTGCACTGCCTGGGGCTGCGGTCCTTCCGGGCCTTGAGGGGACCCCGGGGCCCCAGCCTTGGCCCTGTAAGGTCAGATGGTGGCTGGGCTTCAGCATCCTGCCGCTAGGTTTGGTTCGTAAATGACAGGGAGGCAGACTCTGGTTAAGCTCAGGACCTGTCCCCAGGCTCTGCACCAGGGCAGCTTCCCCCAGCAGAGGCCGTGTGGGGCTGGGCAAGGTTCCTACCTTGTGGGGAGTTCCCTGGACCCGGAGACCCAGCCCTCAGCCTCCTTGAGGATGAATGATGTGCCCTGTGGCTGTCTTGGCCCAGACCATCAGGTGACTTCTTCCCCTGCCCCTCTTCAGACAGGGCCTCCGACCTAGGGCAGGAGCACTCCCTACCCCAGACCTGCTGGGTCGCAGCAAATGCACAGACATCGGGAAAGGACAGAGGAAGGGCGTGTGGCTGCAGCGCTCTCTGCAGACGCCTGAGACGGGAGGTAGGAGCACACTTGCCGTGGTTTGAATGTGTCTCCCCTCGAAAGGTCATGTTGAAATTTCATTGCCATTGTCGCAGTATGAAGAGGAGACTAGGTCGTGGGGCCCCACCTCGTGAATGGGGTTGGGGCTGTTATAAAAGGGTGAGTTCCCCACTTGCTCTTTCTTGCCCTCCTCCATGTGATGACCCAGTAAAAATGTCCTCACCAGATGCTTCTGCACTTCTCCTGCACTTCCTCTTGCTCCTGCACTTCCTCTTGCTCCTGGACTTCCTCTTTCTCCTGCACTTCCTCTTGCTCCTGGACTTGCTCCTGCACTTCCTCTTTCTCCTGGACTTGCTTCTGGACTTCCTCTTCCTCCTGCACTTCCTCTTGCTCCTGGACTTCCTCTTGCTCCTGGACTTGCTCCTGGACTTCCTCTTGCTCCTGGACTTCCTCTTGCTCCTGCACTTCCTCTTACTCCTGGACTTGCTCCTGCACTTCCTCTTGCTCCTGGACTTGCTCCTGCACTTCCTCTTGCTCCTGGACTTGCTCCTGCACTTCCTCTTGCTCCTGGACTTCCTCTTGCTCCTGGACTTCCTCTTGCTCCTGCACTTCCTCTTGCTCCTGGACTTCCTCTTGCTCCTGGACTTCCTCTTGCTCCTGCACTTCCTCTTACTCCTGGACTTGCTCCTGGACTTCCTCTTGCTCCTGCACTTCCTCTTGCTCCTGGACTTCCTCTTGCTCCTGGACTTCCTCCTGCTCCTGCACTTCCTCTTGCTCTTGCACTTCCTCTTGCTCCTGGACTTCCTCTTGCTCCTGCACTTCCTCTTGCTCTTGCACTTCCTCTTGCTCCTGCACTTCCTCTTGCTCCTGCACTTCCTCTTGCTCCTGGACTTCCTCTTGCTCTTGCACTTCCTCTTGCTCCTGCACTTCCTCTTGCTCTTGCACTTCCTCTTGCTCCTGGACTTCCTCTTACTCCTGGACTTGCTCCTGGACTTCCTCTTGCTCCTGCACTTCCTCTTGCTCTTGCACTTCCTCTTGCTCCTGCACTTCCTCTTGCTCTTGCACTTCCTCTTGCTCCTGGACTTCCTCTTGCTCTTGCACTTCCTCTTGCTCCTGGACTTCCTCTTGCTCCTGCACTTCCTCTTACTCCTGGACTTGCTCCTGCACTTCCTCTTGCTCCTGGACTTGCTCCTGCACTTCCTCTTGCTCCTGGACTTGCTCCTGCACTTCCTCTTGCTCCTGGACTTGCTCCTGCACTTCCTCTTGCTCCTGGACTTCCTCTTGCTCCTGGACTTCCTCTTGCTCCTGCACTTCCTCTTACTCCTGGACTTGCTCCTGGACTTCCTCTTGCTCCTGCACTTCCTCTTGCTCCTGGACTTCCTCTTACTCCTGGACTTCCTCTTGCTCCTGCACTTCCTCTTACTCCTGGACTTGCTCCTGGACTTCCTCTTGCTCCTGCACTTCCTCTTGCTCCTGGACTTCCTCCTGCTCCTGCACTTCCTCTTGCTCCTGGACTTGCTCCTGCACTTCCTCTTGCTCCTGGACTTGCTTCTGCACTTCCTCTTGCTCCTGCACTTCCTCTTGCTCCTGCACTTCCTCTTGCTCTTGCACTTCCTCTTGCTCCTGGACTTCCTCTTGCTCCTGGACTTCCTCTTGCTCCTGCACTTCCTCTTACTCCTGGACTTGCTCCTGGTCTTCCTCTTGCTCCTGCACTTCCTCTTGCTCCTGGACTTCCTCTTGCTCCTGGACTTCCTCCTGCTCCTGCACTTCCTCTTGCTCCTGGACTTGCTCCTGCACTTCCTCTTGCTCCTGGACTTGCTCCTGCACTTCCTCTTGCTCCTGGACTTCCTCTTGCTCCTGCACTTCCTCTTGCTCCTGCACTTCCTCTTGCTCCTGGACTTCCTCTTGCTCCTGCACTTCCTCTTGCTCCTGGACTTCCTCTTGCTCCTGCACTTCCTCTTGCTCCTGCACTTCCTCCTGCTCCTGCACTTGCTCCGGCACCTTGCACTTGGACTTCCCAGCCTCCAGTACTATGAGAAATAAGTTTCTGTTTAGCATAAATTATCCAGTCTTAGGTATCCTATTATAACAGCACAAAACAGACTAGAACAACCTGTTCAGACCTGAGGTGAGACGACCCCTGCCCCTATCTAAGGATCCCTGCCCCAGACCTCAGCGGTGAGGTGAAAACGGGACTCCCTCTGAGGGAAATCCCAGCAGCAATGCCCAGGAAGGCATCTGTTGGGCGCAGCAGGCCGGGGAGGCCCGGGACGCACCTGCACCGTCTCTCTGTTATAACAGGAGCATACGGTGACAGCAGAGTCTAAAATTAAACCCAAACTGAAAGTAAGCGTTGATTAATTCGTGGACTCCTCTCCACAGTGCGGTGTTTGTATTCCCAGCACATCGTTTCACTGTGTGCGTTGAGCTTTGCACCCTGTTACCAAATGAGGTCACCCCGTGAATGCTGCCACGTCATCACAGACACTCGGTATGTGGAATTGGGAACGTTTGCAGAATCGGCCCACGATCGCATCGCCGTCATCTCTTCAGGCACTTGCTGGCTTTCAGCTACTTTATAATTATAAATAGTGCTCTGAAGAATGTCTGTCCACAAAGCACTTTCCTCGTGTGCGACGCATCCGTTTTCTTTTGGAAATTGTGTTCTATTCTTTGCCTATTCTTAAGGGATTTGCTCTTTTTCTTACCAGCTTATGTATGTTGTTTGCATAACAGTGGTATAAGACCTTTACATATTAGATTAACGTCATTTAAGTTTATTATTTACGGTAAGGTTTTGACAGTTTTGTTTTGAGACGGAGTTTCGCTCTTGTTACCCAGGCTGGAGTGCAATGGCGCAATCTCGGCTCACCGCAATCTCCGCCTCCTGGTTTCAGGCAATTCTCCTGCCTCAGCCTCCTGAGTAGCTGGGATTACAGGCACGTGCCACCGTGCCCAGCTAATTTTTTGTATTTTTATTAGAGACGGGGTTTCACCATGTTGACCAGGATGGTCTCGATCTCTTGACCTCGTGATCCACCTGCCTTGGCCTCCCAAAGTGCTGGGATTACAGGTGTGAGCCACCGCGCCCGGCCCTGATGGTTTTTAAATGTAAGGAATCTATAAAACCGTTACCAGCTTCATGACTGGGTTTGCAGTGAAGCCTGCCCCCCTCCTAAGGCTGGGCTTGTGCTGGGCTCCTAAATGTCTCAAAGGAACTGAGACTCTTAAGTGAGTCTTTCCATTTCTGTTGAGATGATCACGGGTCATCACTGGCCTGAGTGGTGGATGAGTTATAAATAGCTCTTAATTCCTGTTCAATGAGATGGATGGAATTTGGCTTTCTAGGGTGTTGTTTATAATATTTGGCTCTTTCCTGAAATGCACATTAGCCCATGTTTTACACTGGGGGCTGTGGAGGATGATCCCTTTAATGAACTTTTCCATGTTCCTCTGAATCCTGGAGCAGTTCTTATGGGAGTTGATTAGTTTCGTGGAAGTCTAAGCCTCACCCATCAAGCCGTCTGGGCCTGAAGTCATCTGTGAGGGCGATTATTTAATAACCCTAATGCGTTCTCGAGGGTTATTGTTCCAATTATGATTTCCATTTCTTCTTGAGTCATTTTAAGTTTTATTGCTCGAAAAAAAATGCCAACTTGCCATCATCTCTACTGTCACTATTGTGTGCTCAACAACTGCCTTTTGTGTCTGCTGTGTCCTCCCCAGCACAGAAGCTGCTCTCGTTACACAGAGCAATGTGTCCAGATCCTTCTGTGTCTGCTGTGTCCTCCCCAGCACAGCAGCTGCTCCCATTACACAGAGCAATGTGTCCAGATCCTTCTGTGTCCGCTGTGTCCTTCCCAGCACAGGAGCTGCTCTCATTACACAGAACAATGTGTCCAGATCCTTCTGTGTCTGCTGTGTCCTCCCCAGCACAGGAGCTGCTCTCATTACACAGAGCAATGTGTCCAGATCCTTCTGTGTCTGCTGTGTCCTCCCCAGCACAGGAGCTGCTCTCATTACACAGAGCAATGTGTCCAGATCCTTCTGTGTCTGCTGTGTCCTCCCCAGCACAGGAGCTGCTCTCATTACACAGAGCAATGTGTTAAGATCCTTCTGTGTCTGCTCTGTCCTCCCCAGCACAGCAGCTGCTCTCATTAAACAAAGCAATGTATCCAGATCACTCAGAATCTGTGCCTGCCACGGGAAGCAGGAGGTCAGGGCGAATGAAGAGCCACAGCGTGGCAGGGGAGCCTCTGCAAGGATGCCAGGCCTTGTGTGGACAGAGTTGCTGTAGACAGGCTGCCAGGGAACCCTGCCAGGGAAGCAGTGCCTCTTGGGGATGGCGGTGAAGATGGCACAAGAGGGCGGCGTTACCTCCAGTTGGAAGACGTGCTTTGCTTTGCTCCTTGGTGCTTGGAGAGGGAAAGGGATGTTGTTACAAAGTTCCTGGCTGGACTCTGGCTCGATCGGGCATGGGCACCTTTGGGAGTATGAGGGTGGGTGGGTTTCTGCACATCTTCCATGAGGACCTGTTAGTATTGGGGCAGATATTTTAAGTATGACAGACAAAGGATGTTCTGCATGGGGAAATGTGACACCATTTCACAAGGGCAGCTCACAGACTGAGTGCTCGGGAAGGACTGGCACCAGACCCAGTGCCTGATGTGTATCATCTCATTTAATCCTTGCCTCAGATGCAAGAGGAAGCCATCACCATCATCACCACCATCACCATCACCCCCTGTGCAGATGGAGAGGAGGCATAGAGAGGTGATAGTCTGCCCTGGACTGCCAGCCAGTTGGTGGCAGAGCCACGGTTCTGATGGAATGAATGTTGTCATCCTCAGACGGCAGGGTAGGCAGGCGGCTGGAGCTCACCCTGGGAGAAGGGGAAAGGACCCCAACTTTGGGTGGGGATGGAGTGGGGCTTGGGCTGCTTTCCACACACAGGCAGCAGGTGGGGCTCACAGCTGTGCTCCTGCCCCAGGTGTGGACAATGAATCTTCCAGGTCTGCCCTGGGCTGTGGGTCTGGACAGCACTGCAATGAAGAGAAGACACTCTGTGTCCTGCCTTCTGTGACTGTGGAAATGGTGCATCTGGCTGGGCATCTGGCTGCCCCCTGGGAGGGGGTGACTGTGGGAATGGTGCTGGCGTCTGGCTGCCCCCCTGGGAGGGGGTGACTGTGGGAATGGTGCTGGCGTCTGGCTGCCCCCTGGGAGGGGGTGACTGTGGGAATGGTGCTGGCATCTGGCTGCCCCCCGGGAGGGGGTGACTGTGGGAATGGTGCTGGCGTCTGGCTGCCCCCCTGGGATGGGACCAGAATGCCACTTCTCCCCTCACTCCTCCAGTTCACATCCAGAGCCCCAGCAGGACCAGCAGAGCCTCTAGAGCAGGCGGCAGCTCATGTCCTGCCTTGCTAGCTGCTCCTCTCCTGGGCAACGTTGGCTGCTTGCTGTGGCTGTCCCCAAGGTATGTGATCGCCTCTGAGCTGGGCTCCTGGCCTGGGCTTTCCTTCGGGGCCTGGGCAGCCGGGCTCAGCTTGGACCCAGGCAGCAGCCACAGCGGGGCCCGTGGAGGTGACAGTCGCCTCTGTGGTGATGAACAGACGGCTGTGACACACGGGAGGTGACCACTCCTGAGTTTCCAAGCGCTGCGGTGGAGGCCAGAGCCAGCAAAGCCCCTCCCATATTGCAAGAGCGGGTTTGAGTTTGTCCCAGGAGGACAAAGTCGGGAGCCCATACTGGGACACGCCTCCTCCAAAGCTCCACCTGTCCCAGGCCTCACTCCCGGCTCCCCCAGCTTGCTCCTGGCATCCACGGTGGAGTCAGATGTTTCCGGGCACTTTCACCTTTGTGCCTTTAATGCACGTTGAGGACTTTAAGGAATTGTGGATAAATACAGCGATGGGCAGAGCCAGTGACCACAGGGAGCAGTGACCACAGAGGCTGCTGACCCCTGCACCCCAGGGGCATGACTTTTCCTCCTCTGCCTGGGCTTTGGTGGGAGGGGCAGCCTCTGTGGTCTGAGAAACAAAAATACCCAAAACCTTCTCCTAAAGTGCCTCAGGAACTCGATGCATAGGCCAGATACACACACATGCACAGACATATGTGTGTGCAGACACAGCCCAGGCACGCACACACATGTGAGCACATGCACACGCTCACAGGAGGCCCGTGGACCCCCCCAGCCCAGGGAGGAAGCTCTGGTTGCCGGTGGACAGCTGCAGCAGGGCCGCCCCCAGCCCCGCCTGCCTCCCATTGCCCCCCGGCCCTGGCTGCACAGGCTCCCCTCATGCTGCGGCTGGGGCCTCTGGCTTGCTACAACCCATTGCTGGCCTGGGTCTGGGCCCTTCCCTGGCTGCCCCTGGGTTTATAACTCAGGCCAGTGCTGGTGTGCACACAGCATCTCCCTGGGAGGCCAGGGCTGCTCCTGAAGCTCTGTGGGCCTGCACTGGCCGGTGAGTCTGCAGTGTGGGTTAGGCTGAATTCTTCCCCCTCCTGCGCACAGGGGGCCTGGTGCCCCATAGCTGCCTGTAGCCCCTGAGGCCTTGCCCTCACTTCAGTGCCCAGGTTCTCGGGCTCTGGCCATGTGGCAGGTGAAGGTGGGGTATTGAGCCCATTGGCAGACGTACACCAGGTGTCACACCCCTGCCATAGGGCCTCCCAGAGCCGGCCATCACCCCAGACCTGTGGGGACCAACGATGGGAAGGAGAGGTGACTCTGGGCCAGGCTCACAGGGATGCTGGCATAGACCCTGCCCTGGTGGGTGCCTGTCCTGGGCCCTGGTTCTGCATGAGGAACTGGGCAATCATGGTGGGGCTGCCAGTCCTGTTCTCAGTGGGCTCCACACTTGTCTCGTGGGAGTCACCCCCAGGTAGTCTCAGGCTCCTCTCCTTTAGGGCAGACCCACAGCGCCATCTGGGCATCCTGGGCTTCTGCTGGGGTCATGATGGTGACCTAGTGCCCTCACTGGCCAGCCCTGCTGTCAGCCAGGCTCAGACTCCACAGTCCCTCACTGACCCGGCCACCCCAGGAGGACTGCAGCCTGTCACCCACGGCAGGCAGCCTGTGGGCACCAGGGCTGGCCGCCCATCCTGCACCCGGGGCCACAGGGCAGCACACGGGGATGCAGGTGCCCTTCATGCCCTGGGAGGTCAGTGTTCACCACCAGCAAAGCGCCAAGCTAAGCTGCAGGAGGTGGTCATGCCCCAGGGGACAATGGAGAGCTGTTCTCTGGCCGAGAGAGAGACAGAGGAGGTGTGGGCTCTGAGGCTGCCTTGGTGGAGGTGGGCATGGCCTGCAATGCACCAGGCCCAGCCAGTCTCATGGCTCTGAGTGGCTCACCTCCAGCCCCTGTACCCCTGTGCTCTCAGCTCCTCCTCCATCTCCATCTTCCAGGCCAGGGCCTCCCAGCAGCACAGAGGCTGGGAAGTCTGGTGTACAAGCCCAGGCACAGCCCTGCCTCTACTCCCCACGCTGGCCCACATTGAGGTCCCTGGCTGTCAGGATGAAGCCCTGAGTGACACCGCAGCCCATCCCGGTGACATGCTCACCCCAGCCCCCAGGTCGCGGACCCTGGTCTTGTCCAGTCCCTGATGTGGAGTCCTCAGTTCTCAAGATACACCTGGAAAGTCCTGGTCACGAAGTGGGGATGCAGAGTCCTGCAGAGCCACTGGGCTGGGCTGACCCCCAGGTGATGGAGGGCCTGGTGGGTGCCCTCCTCCCTCAGAGCCGGGGCTGCTGCCGCCCAGGGGTGGGACCCTGGGCTCTGAGAGAGGCCCCTGAGCTGCAGCCTTGGGGGCGTGAGGCTTCAGGAAGGGTGTCCTGGTGTCCAGCTTCAAGGAGACGCTTCTCCGTGCATGCGTCCTCTCTGCCTGCCCTGGGTGTCTGAGCAGTCACTCCCGGCCGGCACCTCTGCTGCCTGGGGGTCAGGCTTTCTGTGAGGGAGCTCCCCAGCCTTCTGTGGTGATGGAGTAAGGCAGGTGGCTTCAGTCCATGCTGTGAGTGACACTGGTGTCAACGCAGACCCCTTCACACAGGCATCCTCAGGCTTGGGGCCCTGGGGGCACCTTCCTCCTTTCTCATTTGTTGAGAGAAAAAAGTTGCACTGTGCTCACACCAGGAAGCCGGGGCGGAGCTGATATGCTTGGGAAAGGGTGGAGATCACTGGGGTGGGAGGGTCATCCAGCCCAGACTTGGCACCCTGTGGGTGGGTAAACTGAGGCCTCACGGTGACCCCTCTCTCTGGTTCCCAGCAGCTGCCTAAGACCTGCCCTGGGTACCTGTGACCTGGAACTCCCTGTTTCCTTGCCCAGAGCCTGAGGAAACCCCTCCGCAGAGCTGTCTCTGGGGGTGCTGACAGGGGCAGTCTTGCGGGCTATTGGAGGAGGCAAGGATGTCAGGGTGTCAGGAAGGCAGCTGTGCCCAGTCCCACCCTGTGAAGCAACATGCTGCGGGCGGGGTTTGGGCCTCCCCCCCTCCCCACTGGGCGTGCTGGTGCTGGCGCTGCTGGATCAGGCACCACTGTTTGTCCTGGGAGGCTCCCGTCCTGGCACTTCCTGGGCAGATACCTCCTTTCTGTTAGGAGGCAGGGGCTCTTGGATCCAAAGCAAATGACAGGAATTCCAGAGCCAGGTGAACTTGGGTTCAGGTGATGCTCCTCCTGATGACAGGAGTTCTTGAGCTCTCTCAGTCTTCGGGGGTCTCCACTCAGGGCAGCTGCCTCTAGCACATGGAGGATAAAAGTCAGCCTGCCCCTCTCAGGAGAGAAGAGCCTGCTGACGACTCCAGCACTGCAAGTTCAAGGCCAGCCGGAGAGATCTGCAGCTTGCGGGAGTGACTGTGCCAGTGGCCTGTGCAGGGGTGTGAGTGCAGGGGTGCGAGTGTGCAGGGGTGCGAGTGTGCAGGGAAGTGAGTGAGTGTGCAGGGGTGTGAGTGCAGGGGTGTGAGTGTGCAGGAGTGTGAGTGCAGGGGTGTGAGTGTGCAGGGGTGTGAGTGTGCAGGGAAGTGAGTGTGCAGGGGTGCGAGTGTGCAGGGAAGTGAGTGAGTGTGCAGGGGTGTGAGTGCAGGGGTGTGAGTGCAGGGGTGTGAGTGTGCAGGAGTGTGAGTGCAGGGGTGTGAGTGTGCAGGGGTGCGAGTGTGCAGGGGTGTGAGTGTGTAGGGGTGTGAGTGTGCAGGGAAGTGAGTGAGTGTGCAGGGGTGTGAGTGCAGGGGTGTGAGTGTGCAGGAGTGTGAGTGCAGGGGTGTGAGTGTGCAGGGGTGCGAGTGTGCAGGGGTGTGAGTGTGTAAAGGTGCGAGTGTGCAGGGAAGTGAGTGAGTGTGCAGGGGCGTGAGTGTGCAGCGGTGTGTGTGCAAGAGTGTAAGTGTGCAGGAAAGTGAGTGTGCAGGAGTGTGTGCAGGGAAGTGAGTGTGCAGGGGTGTGTGTGCGGGAGTGTGAGTGCAGGGGTGCGAGTGTGCAGGGAAGTGAGTGAGTGTGCAGGGGTGTGAGTGCAGGGGTGTGAGTGTGCAGAAGTGTGAGTGCAGGGGTGTGAGTGTGCAGAAGTGTGAGTGCAGGGGTGTGAGTGTGCAGGGGTGTGAGTGTGCAGGGAAGTGAGTGTGCAGGGGTGTGTGTGCAAGAGTGTGAGTGCAGGGAAGTGAGTGTGCAGGAGTGTGTGTGCGGGGAAGTGAGTGTGCAGGGGTGTGTGTGCAGGAGTGTGAGTGCAGGGGTGTGAGTGTGCAGGGGTGTGAGTGTGCAAAGGTGCAAGTGTGCAGGGGTGTGGGTGTGCAGGGGTGTGAGTGAGTGTGCAGGGGTGTGTGTGCAGGGAAGTGAGTGCAGGGGTGAGAGTGTTCAGGGATGAGAGTGATTGACACCTCCAGCAGGAGATACGGCAGGACTGTATCAGGGCTCCTCAGCATTCCCAGGGGTGAGAGGCCCCATGCATCCTAAGCTGCGTGAGATGTCTGTTTCTTGTCCACCTCTTCACTAGCAAGAGTCCTCCCTGCACATGGTCATGTGTCCATGGTGCCCAGGGCTTCGTCCTCCCTTGGGGATGAGGATCGGGTGTCCATGGTGCCCTGAGCTGTCTGCTCCCTGGGGTTGAGGGTCGGGTGTCCATGATGCCCTTGGCTGTTTCCACCCCTGGGGATGAGGGTTTGGTGTCCATCGTGCCCCGAGCTGTGAGCTCCTCTAGGGATGAGGGTCAGGTGTCCATGGCACCCTGGGCTGTTTCCTCCCCTGGGGTTGAGGGTGTCCATGGCACCCTGGGCTGTTTCCTCCCCTGGGGTTGAGGGTGTCCATGGCACCCTGGGTTGTCTGCTCCCTAGGGATGAAGGTCGGGTGTCCATGATGCCCTTGGCTGTTTCCTCCCCTGGGGTTGAGGGTCAGGTGTCCATGGCACCCTGGACTGTTTCCTCCCTGGGGTTGAGGGTGTCCATGGCGCCCTGGGCTGTCTGCTCCCTAGGGATGAAGGTCGGGTGTCCATGGCGCCCTGGGCTGTTTCCTCCCCTGGGGATGAGGGTCAGGTGTCCATGGTGCCCAGGGCTGTGTGCTCCCTAGGGATGAGGGTCGGGTGTCCATGGCATCCTGGACAGGTGCTTCCTTTCTGCACAAGGGTCGGGTGTCCATGGCATCCTGGACAGGTGCTTCCTTTCTGCACAAGGGTCGGGTGTCCATGGCATCCTGGACAGGTGCTTCCTTTCTGCACAAAGTTCGGGTGTCCATGATGCCCTGGCAGTGCCTTCCCTGGGGCGCCTCTTTTCTGCCCTGTGGGAGGAGCAGGGGAGGTTTAGCTGGTCTCAGCAGGTCATTCTCTCAGGATGAGCCTTGTGGCCAGTGCTCCAGAGTGAAAGTGTCTCCCCAACCCTCACCTCCATTCCATCACAGCCGGACACTTGGTGTGGCGGCAGCGAGGTGGGTGTTTGTGGTTCTCTTGGGCTGGGGGTTAGGGGTGGACGGGGAGAGGACAGATGTTGGTCAAAGGGGATGTAGTTTCTGCTGGATGGGAGGAGTCAGTCGTTTCTGTCTGCAGCACAACACGACAACTTCAGTTAATAATAATGTCTGTTTCAAAACTGCTGTGAGATGAGATTTTAAATGTTCTCACCACAAAGAAATGATGTGTGTGAGGTGATGGATATGCCACTTACCTGTTTTCATCCCCCACCACATGGACAGGAATCGTAACTTCACATTGCACCCCAGGAATCTGCACACTTGTTTTTTTTGTGAATTAAAAATAGAGACGAGGAGAGAGGGGAGAGCAATAGACACTCACGGAACTATGGGCTTCTGCCTCCAGGTAAAATAAACTGCAAAAAGGATTCCCAGGCAACGTTCCCTCTTCCATAGGCCTTGGATACAGGAAGCCAGATTTAGGAAATCTGGATGACATTCACATGAATGGGTACATACAGGAAAAACCATGGCAGCCTAATTAGAATAGTAGGGGAAAAGCAGCCAGAAGAAGCTGCGGTGTACTCTTGCAACACCAAGTTCACTTGGTTTAAAAAAAAATGTTTGATGGGGGCTAGGGGAGGGCTAGCAGGAGGTGGGGCTAGAGGAGGGGTAGCATTGAGGGAAACACCTAATGTAGATGATGGGGTGGTGGACGCAGCAAACCACCACGGCACACGTGCACCTCTGAAACAAACCTGCATGTTCTGCTCATGTGCCCCAGAGCTTACAGTATGAAAAAAGCCATAAAAAAGAAAGTATAATATTGGCTGATGAAACATTGGCTAGGTAGTCTTTTCCTTGCCGCCATTTGTGTGAGGTTAATAGAACATATATGTATTCTGTATAAAAAAAGCTTGTACGTAGGTGATTGAAAAGAAAATGTCTTCTCTTTTTAAGGTAAAAATTTGGACCCTTATCACTTGTACACCCCATGAGCTCTTCAAATCAACATCATTATGTATATCTATGTGTGTGGGTGTGTGCATATATATATACACACATGTATATACATATATATGTGTGCATATATACATGTGTATACATCACCTACATAATGAACGTTTTTATACACATATGTGTGTATGTCTATATACGCATATGCGTGTATATACACACATGTACATATATGCATACATGTTTACATTTATATATGTGTGTATATACACGCATATGTATATATGTACACGTGTGTGTGTGTGTGTATAGATAGATATACAATTTTGCTAATCTGAACCAGCACGGGCTGAGGCTGTCTAAAGGGACACAGTTTGGTTGTTGGGTTTCTGGGGTGAAGCTGTATTCTTCAGAGTGTAGCCCTTGGCTGCCATCTCGGCCATTACTACGGACTGTGAACTTTACCCTCAAGCCGTGACAATCTGTGTCCCCGGAATGCTCCCTCCAGCACACTGTTACTCCTGTGACGTGTGTTAAGTGCTCCGATGACGCTGAAAACGGCTCACGATGTGAAAAGGTAGGAACAGTTCTGAGGTAAGGCTGAGGGCCGACTCCCTTCGCAGTGGCACCCGGTGCCCATTTCTGCACACTGTTGCCTGTGCACTTGCACACGCGCGCGCACACACACACACACAGCATGCGTGTGGGTGACGCGGGGCTTGTGTGTGTGGGTGGGAGATGCATACTCACATCTGCATCTATATCATGCCCAGGTATCTGCAAATTGCTTTTCCTGGGTAAGAACATTCCTTGGAGTTTGTTCAACGCACCTGTCTGTGTGGATGATTGAAGGAATTTCTTTTTTTTTTTTTTTTTTTGAGACGGAGTCTCCCTCTTTCACCAGGCTGGAGTACAGGGCGCAATCTTGGCTCACGGCAGCCTCTGCCTCCTGGGTTCAAGAGATTCTTCTCCCTCAGCCTCCCAA